TTACTCTCCATTTAAACCAAATGTTTAGTTAACCCTTGGTGGCTTCCTAATCCTTATCACACCACAAGAACATGACTGTTTAATCATAGCTAAAATGAGCCTTTATCCCATGCCACCCAGTTTGGTCTGGGGTTGTATCAGTGTAATTGTCAGCATCTCTTTCCATTTTCAGAACTGCCCCAACTTAACACAACAGATTAGTCACCTTAATAACAGCAGATATATAAAGTTGTGACACCCAGCGATGACATAGGACCACCAGCCTTAGGATTCCTGATGTACTTTCAAGGTTTCCTCTGACAGCCAATTCCAAAGCAATAATCTTAGAACATCAGTGAGGTTTTCATAGAGAACCAAGACCTCTTCTAATTGGATTACCATTCCTAAATCCCTTCTATACAAGAACTCAAGATTTGACACACGCAATTATCCTTCCATCTAAAAAATAATACAAGTCAACAAACAGCTTCGTTTTCACTATACCCGGGTACATTTATAAGCACATGCATGGCAGATTATAGCTGGCTGCCCACCAGAATTAGATGCTAAGACCCTGCGGCTGAAACTGCACACTCTGGTAGGGGGACATGGAAAGCTCAGGCTAGGACTGAGAAAGAAGCATCTTCGGCTGGCCAGCCTGCAGTGTCAGAAGCTGCTGTTCAGGTGCGGGGGAGACTGTCAAAGCTCTACTCAGTGGTAGACAGCGCTGTGATACCAAAAACAGCCAGGCAAAACATGCCTACTAGTGTGCAGTGGCATGACTTTTATGAAGATAACCAACCAACCACCTTCAGACTGGAATCAAATCTACTCTACAAGAAGAAATCCATGCTATAAATCTGGTCAAAAGCCTGTTGAGGATGGTATGGGGTCGTAGGTTCTAGCAGAGAAGTTGCAACTGTTGTTTTTCCTGAAAGGACATGATATCAAGTTGCTACCTAAGCAAATATGCTTATCACTATGGATAAATACTGCTGACAGCTTTGATCAGAGGAACTCCTAGCCACTGGACAGTATTCACTCATACATAACCGGTCAAGGTGCTAAGAATAAGTGATCATGTAGCACTCAGCTTTAATGAGACATCTATGTCACCCCCCTCCAAGACATCGCAAAAGAGAGGGCAGAAAGAATAAAGGAACTGAGAATGAGATGGAACATTACAGAATGCTGTCTTCTGGGCATAGAATGTTTGTGACAATCTTCAACTCAAAGAAGCTATAATTACCTGCATAAGACTGGGCCATCAACATTTATCATGGAGCAGGATGGGACTCAAGAGGTTCACCTATCCCTAAGGATTTATAAGTAGTTAATGGTTTCTTTTAGGATGCTCCCCCAATGATATAGCAATGCTACTGTAAATAACCTCTCACCTTGTCCTTCTAAACACTGCCTTAATAAAATCCACTAAGTTACAGGGGCTGCATGATAAGGCAGAAGAAAGACAAACTGGGAAGAGGAAAGGGTGAGTAAAAGCAGTAAGAGGGAGACAAAAGAGAGCAACAGGAGCAAAAACATGATTAATATACTATATACATGTAAGAAAATACCATTTTGAAACTCATTATTATATATAACAAATATATGGTAATACCATTTTTAAAAGGCAGTAAGTAGCTAAGACTTTTAAATATTTTTTTTTATTTTTTTTATTTTATGTGCATTGGTGTTTTGCCTGTGTGTATGTTCATGTGAAGGTGTCAGATCCCCTGGAACTGGAGTTATAGACGGTTATTAGCTGCCACATGAGTGATCAGGAATTGAACCAGGGTCCTCTGGAAGAGCAGCTCTTAACCACTGAGCCATCTCTCCAGCCCCCACTACTTAGGATTCTAAACCATTAAATGACATTACCAGCCTAAGATCCTGGATGGCTTTGATAAATACTTTTTTGAGTTGATTCTACATCTGTAAAAGTGGAACGGTGTTAGCCTTCCCCAGTTATATAGAAAGACCATACTGGCAAGTATCAGCGTGGATTTGAGCACTTTGTGAATGAAATGGACTGCAGTCCCAGTCATTGCTCAGGAAGAAAGGTTATCCCAACCGTGCTTAAAAAAGCCAAAGTAAGGCTAGAGAGATTGTTGAGAGCATTCGTTACTCTTGCAGAGGACTTGGTTTGGTTCCCAGCACCCACAGGAAAGCTAACAACCATCAATAACTCCAGTTCCAGGAGATCAGAGCCCATTTCTGAACTCCGGGGTCACCAGGCACACATATATGCATGCAGAACACTCAAACACATAAAATAAAAATAAACAAATCTTAAAACAACAGCAAAAAAAAAAAAAAAATACCTTGTGCCAGGTGTGATGATGCACACCTTTAATCCCAGCACTTGGGAAGCAGAGAGGCAGGCAGATCTCTTTTGAGTTGCAGACCTGGTCTATAAAGAGAGTTCCAGGACAGCCAGGGCTACATAGAAAGACCCTGTTTCAAAAACAAAATACCACCAAAAAAGGAAGAAAGTGAAACTTTACCAGTAGATAAGTTCCCCTCTGCTTCTCTTCCTGGGTTATAACCATGTTTTATCATTTATAACAAGATGAACGTGTTGTATATACAATATGATGCTGGTCCACTAACTTGACCATGAACTCCTACCTAGATCTATAGCTAAACATCACAAAATCTAGGAAATCTCTAAGTGGAAGTAAAAACAGGAGCGAGCGAGTGTCAATCATCTTCCGCCTCCAGAAGGGAAGGATCACAAGCACAAGAGCAGTTAAGGATCTGATTAATAACTGACTTGGACTGCAGCCTTGGGGAAGGTGTTACTGGTTTCCTTACCTTTCCAAAGGGAACACTTGCCTGTCTTTTTGCCTGTCTATTTTAAGAGAAGTCTGGGAAAGTAAGATCTCCCGAGTAAATTGGGAGCATGGGGACCTTGGGAGAGGGTTGAAGGGGAGGGGAGAGGCAGGGAGGGAAGCAGAGAAAAATGTAGAACTCAATAAAATCGAGAGGAAGGGAGGGAGGGAAGGGAGGGAAGGAGGGAGGGAGGGAGGGGAGGGAGGGAGGGAGGGAGGAAGGGAGGTCTGAGAGGAAGAAATAAATCACCAATGACAGCATCCCACAACAGTCAGAAGAGCATCAGATGCTGCTGAAAGCCCTGGGTAGAAAGAGTTCTGACATGTTTAGAACAGAATCCTAAAAGAATAAGGAAAGCAAATAAAGGCTCACAATTAAAATTCACCCCACCACCCCACCTCCATCCCAGCTCCTGGATTTGCAAAGACAAATCCACACTGGGGAGCTGTAAAGATCACAAGTTCAGTTCCTGCCCAGCGCAGACTGTTCAGTGACCAGTGTTTCACACTGATAAATGCCTCCCAAGTCTCAAAGCACCAAGTGAGAGTTCACGAGGTTAGGTGCATTAATTAGCAGCACTTATTTGGATTCTGTATCCATCAAATACAAAAAGCAGTTATTCAATACTTGTGTATTTGCAGTCTTCTATGATCCCTAATTCAAAGACCCAGCCGCAGTACAAAACAAAGCCCAAGAAAATAAACTGAAATAAACCTTTCACCAACAGAACATGCCTCAAGTAAAACCGGCAGCTCTGCCCCACTGCGAAGAGTCTGTACCAGCCTAAGTGCAGTAGCACAAATAATGAACACAGAGTTACACAAACAGTTCCCTGTGGCAAAGGAAGAGAAATGAAGGATTGTAGGGCAGAGACACTACTGTATGAACTTTAACAATTTCTTACTAAGTCCTTTTGCTTACCTCCTCATTGATCTGCAGTCCCCACAGAACACAAAACTGGACAGTATTCTTCCAGAGCCTTCAAATTCAGAAGTCTATTTCCCTATAGGTACATCATTACCCTACCTTCTAATACCCAAATATGCAATATTTTATAAATAATGAACTATGTGTGTTACTGTTTAAGACAAGATTAGGATACTGAACGTGATCTCTTATATTAGCACCCTGGGTAAAAAGCAAAAGAAAATATAGAGAAAAACCAAGCCTGGTCTACAGAGCAAGTTCCAAGACAGGCTCCAAAGTTACAGAGAAACCCTGTCTTGAAAAATAAAACGAAAGAAAACAAAACAAAAATGTTAATATCCTACTGACAAGATGAAGTTAGCTCACACATTTCTCTAAGGTATGGTTTTATGGGTCCTACCTTATGCCTTCCAGTCTCGTCTGCTCAAATCATTAAATACCAGAAACAACATGTTTTACACACCAGCTGTACTGAGGCTAAGGCTTACACATCAGCTTTACTGAAGATGAGGGCTTTACACACTGGCTGTACTGAGATTGAAGGTTGTACACACCGGCTGTCCTGAGGCTCAGGGTTTACACACTGGCTTTCCTGAGGCTGAGGGTTTACACACCGGCTGGCTGTCCTGAGGCTCTGGGTTTACACACTGGCTTTCCTGAGGCTGAGGGTTTACACACCGGCTGGCTGTCCTGAGGCTCAGGGTTTACACACTGGCTGTCCTGAAGCTGTCTTATAGGATGTACTTCAGCCCAGGCTGCAATAGAGGTTGGAACCAACAAACCAACAACAAAGGCAACAGAAACTGCTTTCTCTCAAGTAAGCTTTTCCTTATTAAAACTCACCCAACTAAGAACACCCCAGGGAGAAGAATGAACTGTTTTGCTGCAGATTATTGCAAAGACTTAAGTAATCTGGGAAGGCAAAAGCCAAGTGATAGAAAATAAAAAGACAAGTCTAGTATTAAGAACTAGGAGGTATCAAGAAAACCAGGCTTAAAAATTACACAGCCTAGAGATAAAAAAGTATCAGAGATATTACCACTAAAAGACCGTTCCTCCTATGAGATCCATAATTTAAATAACAGAATTACAATACCTTTAAGATTAAGAAATGAACTTAATTCATAATCTCTAAAAGCAAATTCATTGGCAAAACAAACTGTATTACCTTCCAAAATAAGTAATTTCAGAAAAAAAGATACCATTTTTCTATTAATGCAGCTTTTCAGAACACACATAAAAGAGACAAAACAGGCACCCACCTGGCTGTCCCGTGCTGGGAATCCATGATAACCAGGGGTCAGTGGCTCGTTCTAAGACAAAGAGAAAAATAATAATCAAACTTTAAAAGAAAACGTTAAGAATCAAAATCAACCAAACCAATCAAAAATGAATTTCTGCCCAATTTCCCAAATTTGCCATTTCGGTATTCTACCTGACTACTATACACACTCCCCAGCTAAGTTCTACAATGCCACAAACACAAACACACTACAGACAAAACCTACTTTCCTCTTTATGCAAGTAAACTGTTTTCTTTCACAATGAACCTCAAGCAGAGTATTACTGAGACGTGGGGAGAATAATTCCTTAACTTCATTCACCCTTGGAGTTTGAGCAGACCCAGAAGTTCTCCACTAGGAGAACCAGAATTCCACACATTTCCAAGTGTACTGACCCTACCGAAATGTTTTCTAACCTAGAAGGTTTCAGTTTATTCTATCAGTTCTTTTAAACACAGATGAAATTCTACTTCTCTTTAAGACTTCCCTACCACTCAATCATCTGTGGACTGAAGGGACTCCTAGTGTGCATACATAGTATCACTTCAATTCCTTGCACAGTTAACTTTCCATGTCATTATTTTAATTTCCTTCTTTAAAAAAGTCATCATATTTAGTGTGTCTCATCTTCACACCAAGCAAGATCCATGAGGACAGAGGTGCTAGCGAACAGAAGCTATTGCAACTAATTCAGTCCCACAACACACTGCCTGAACATCCACTTATGGCTCAGAGGACCCACATGATCATTCAGGCAACAGACACTGACTACTAAAAATCCCAAATTAATGTTAAATGACTGAAGACATAAGAAACTTGAATGAAACGATGTTCTTGTATGCCAGTAAACGTTAGGAGGAGGCACTGTATACACAAAGGAGTAGTGGCAGCATATACGTTCTTTGTAGCTTCTAAAGAAGTTTCTAAAGAATCTACAAAGAACCTGCAGCTACTTAAAGAACCCCATCCTCTTCCAGGCACCTGGACTTTCATTCATACTGATGGGGCTTCATGGGAAGAGAATAATTTTTCCACTTAATGGTAGCTACATCAAAGATGTAATTACATTTAAAAGCATGAATATGTATGCATATACAGTCAAAGTAAGCACTCACTTCAAAATATCAAAGAGTCAATTTAAGTTTAGACAGAGCCATTGTATCTTGTCCACTATGCTCTGTTCCCTCCCAAGATTTAGCACAATGACTAACACATGGTAGACACCTAAAACAATATTTAAGCAAATAAATGGAATTGGTTTTACATAAGCTAGAAATTCTAATCTAAGCTATTTTCTCTACCTAAATTTCTGTTGGCCATTTAAATATTTGTAGTCTCAAATCAAAATAAAAACCACTAGTCGTTATAAGAGATAACTAACTGCCTTTAAAAATTATGGATATCAAAAACAAAGTATCTTGAGAAGAAAAGAGTTGAAGAACAGGATTTCCAGATTCACTACAAAGCTACAACAATCAGGACAGTGTGACATTGGCATGTCTGTTTCTGCATAAAGATGAATTATCCTCCCCCACAACCATTCCTACGTGTGCATGTGTGTGCTGCTAGGAAGTTAACCCAGAGTCTTACATGTACTAGACAAGCACTCTACCACTGAGCTATGTACCCAGCCCTTTTAAATTTATTTAAATAAAAGCCTTTGGATGCGGTGAGGACTAGATATGCAGGTCAATAAAGTACAACTGAGAAATGAACAAATTTTTTTAAAGCCTCACAATTATGACCAATTAATGTTTTAAAAAGATGCCAAAAAAGCCAAAGGTAGAAAGAATAGTCTTTTTAAGAAAAAATATGAGACAATTGAATAGCCACATGTAAAAGGAATAAGGCCCTGTGCTATGTAGCAAATTAACTCCAGACAGACTGACCTAAAATTGAAACTTAAAAAGGAAACCTTCGGTACCTCTGGATAAGCAGCACTTTCTCCACTACAACACCAAGAGAAGACCAGAAAGTGAGGTCAACTAAACACCATTAAGATTTACAACTTTTGTCCTTCAAAGGACACCAGGGGGAAAAAGCAATCTACATAATGGAGACCATTTGCGAACCACATTTGATAAAGGAAAAGTGTCCAAAGCATAAAAAGCACTCTTACAACTCAGTAATGGAAGAAAAAATAACTTTAAAATGAAATTAGGGTTTGAATGGTCACTTCTCCTAAAGCTATGCAGATGCAGGTAAGAAAAGGGCAAGCAAGGAGACTCAGTCCCATGAGCCACTGCTGCAGTCCAACCACACAGACAACACACACTGAGGTAGTTAAAATCAAAAGTCTTGAAAACAAGTGTTGAGGATGGAAAAATCAAGATTCTGTACACAACTGGTGAAAATAGAAAAGTGGTAAATCACCTTATGAACATCCAAGTAGTCCCCCAAAAGGTAAAACACAAGGAGTATGACTCTGTGGTTAAGAACAGACTGTTCTTGCAGAGGACCTGAGTTCCATGCCCAGCACCCAAGTCAGAAGGCTCATAACTGCCTACAACTCAGGCTTTGATGGTGCCTGTGTATCACCTGTAGGACGGAAAGACAGATAGACAGGCAGACAGACAAACAGACACACACACGATGAAAAAATAAAATAAAATAAGCCGGGCAGTGGTGGCACACATCTTTAATCCCAGCATTTGGGAGGCAGAGGAGGGCGGATCTCTCTGAGTTCGGTGCCAGCCTGGTCTACAAGAACTAGTTCCAGGACAGGCTCCAAAGCCACAGAGAAACCCTGTCTCAATAGATTAGATAGATAGATAGATAGATAGATAGATAGATAGATAGATAGATAGATAGATAGATAGATAGATAGATAGGGTTGAGCACACTGTTACTGCAGGACTCAGAAATTCCACAACAGGGAATACAGCCAAAGAAACAAAAACACACATCCAATCAGAACACATAAGTGTCCAGAGCAGCCTAATTTCAGAGTACCCAGAGAGTGACCAACAGTACAATTAAAGAAATGGGATGTTATGTGTGGACGAATCTTGAAAACAACACAGTAAGAAAAAAAAAAGTGTCAGCCTTCTATTTACAGGAAATGTCCAAACCTGACAAATCCATGGTGACAGAATAGATAGAATAGATGAGTGGCTTCAGAGGCAACAGGGTAAAACGAGCAGTAACCACTAGCAGGTTTTATTTGTGGTGATGAAACTGCTCAGAATCGAGTACTAGTGACAGATGTACAGCTCAGTGAAAAAGCACCTCAGTCAATCTCTTACTTTAAAATAATATTAGTTAGAGGGCCGGCCAGACGGCTCAGTTGGTAAGGGAGCCTGTCACCAAGGCTGAGGACCTGAGTTCAGTCTCTCGGACCCACAGCATAAGAGGCAAGAACTGACTCCCAAAAGTTGTCCTCGTGGCATGTATTTGTATGTACGTACAAAATATATGTACGTGTATATACTAACATACATTTTTTAAATTAAAAACATAATAAAAATGAAAATAATAATAGTTAGAAAAGACAATGTTGGCTCTCTTTCACACTAGAAATTACAGGAAAGACATATAACAGATACGGCAGGGTAGGGCAGGAGAAGACAAGACGGGAGAGGATAGAGAACGTGGCTCCTGAAATCCACATGTCCTATCCTTGTCCTAGATTCTGCACATTTATCTCATTATATTCCCTAACAGTGATGATGACGAAGAAAAAACTCAGATCATGAGCAGTTCCCACAGTATACTCCAGGATGGGAAAATGGGGAAGAGGACAAAGCAAAGAGGAGATGATACAGGAATGTGTCAGGGTCTATTTCCTATCTTTGGAGAACTGCTGACCTTAGCCTATAGAACCCAGTACTCCAGAGTCCTGTTCTATTCATTCTGCAGGTTCTCATCTCAAGGACCATTCCATATTACCCTTTAATTATAAAAATTTCAACATTTTCTCAGAGAGATTATATGATTAAGAAAGTAGTCAAAGTTGCAAACTTGCAAACTTGGTCTCTTTGTAAGGCTCCTCGTAGTGAGATCAGGACCCGTCCCTGGCACTTAGCTGGCTTTTTGGAACCTGCTCCCCATGCTAGCAAGGGGAGGAGCTTGTTTCTGCTTCAACTCAATATGCCATGCTTTGTTCAAGCCCATGAAAGGCCTGCCCCTTTCTGAATGGAGCTAGGAGTAGTGGACAGGGAGGGGAGCATATGGGAAGCGAGGAGGAGGGCATCACAGGGGAGGAGGAGGAATGGGGGGGGTTAGGAGGAAGGGAAAACTGCAGTCAGCATGCAAAATAAATTTTAAAAAGCTATTGAAATTAAAAAAGAAAGTAATCAAAAGTCCAAGCACTTGCTAACAAGGACCCATTCTCCCAACATACATCCTGTGTTCTGACATCCTAGAAACCAACAATATAGAAACTCTGTGTGTGTGTGTGTGTGTGTGTGTGTGTGTGAGAGAGAGAGAGAGAGAGAGAGAGAGAGAGAGAGAGAGAGAGAGAGAGAGAGAGAGATATCATGGTCCTGGAAGTCAGTATCATCAAAAACACTAGAAACATCACTGCCTGTTGTACAACAAGGCTAAGGCTACTTACTGGGAACTATTCTGGGACTTGGAGAGCCAAGTCTCAGACTGGTCTGAACTAAATGAAAAAGCACGGCTTTCCTTTTCAGTTTTACTAGGTAGACTCCTATCTCTCTGCACTAACTTCGCATGACTTTGGATTTTCTAAATATGGATCTTGCATGTGTTTTATGGCAACTTGCTCAATGCTGTGAGCTTCATTTCCACTAATGCATACCACTACGTTCCACTCATTCTGAATGCTGCTCTAGTACAGTATCCTTATAAATGCCAACAGGTATTTCCATCTGACTTTCTTGCTGATGAATACTGAAATTCCTCTTGGTTATACTGTGTTTACTAGCCACACAGCTGATATAGGATGTCCTTCTGTACATGTGCTGCTTTTTATTGGTTGATAAACAGAGATGTTTTGGCCAGTGGCTTAGCAGAGTAAAGCCAGGCAGGAAATCCAAACAGAGATATACAGAGTAGGCAGAGTCAAA